TTGGAGACCCCCCTGAACTAGATTATGTCTGAAAATTGAGGTGTTGCCTTTTAACTGTTTTCTGCTGCAAGCTGGGGGAAAAATAATCGCACATTATTACATGCCCCTATTTAAGAGAGCCGGGTGTTGAATATTATTCCGATTGGGAAGTCTGGGCACAGAAACATCATTCTCCCTATCATTAATTTAGTCTCGCCATCACCCTGAGGCCGAAAAGGCGATCCAGCGGTGAAAAGAGCTTACAATTTGATGCTTCCGTCTTTCAAATGAACTGGTTGAAACGGAGTGGGGCGATTCTTACCGAAAGCTTTCTAAGAATAATGTTATTTGTCCCGCTGAAGAAAGCAGGACAATTCGTAATAATTAGGTCTGAGCGTCCGCAGGCATATAAAAAGTGTTGTTACTCAGGAGATCCCTGAAGTAGCACCGCAAATGAGACGGTGCACAACTCTTGAGTTTTCTACGTTTATCTTCCTGCTGATCTAAGTGGAATGGGCAGGATTTCTATCGGGTTTATAGCCAGCTTTTGAGGAATTCTGGGAGTTGAAGTCCACAAGTCTTAAAGTGGTCAAGATTGGAGATGCCTGCTTATAGAATAGGAGGAGCCACGGCTAAATGAGGAGCGCTGTTGGAAAAAAAGGGCATGCTTTGGTTTGGCGGGAAAAGCCTTTGTCGGTTTAAGCAGCTGTGGGATCAGTGACGCGCGTAATAATAATTTATAAATGCTCCTTGGCAAATGTCCTTGCATGGAGTGTAATTTTTGGATTCCTTGTCTTTCAAGAAACAAACTCTGTCTCCACATAATATCCCAAGCACATAACAACAGTCTAATACAGTCATTTTCAAATATACTGGTTCTAAAGACCAATCTTACTTTAATAATAATTGATGAGATGAATGTTAACAAACTTTAAAAAGGTGCTTTCTTAAGCGAACATAAATGTTATTCTTGAATAGAAAACTTTTTAAAAATTACATAACTGGGAATACATTTATGTGAATAAAAGCAAAGAATGGGAACAAGTGTTCTCTGATAGGATAAGGTGACTTTTTCTACTACCGGTGGTTTTATGTGGAGAAAAAAATAAAATAAGAAAAAAATTCTTCAACATTTCAGTCCACATCTAATTACCTCATCTACATTAATAGGCTACTAGCCACATATTTTTCACTGCATCATCAGTTTTATTATATTAGGAGTCCTTAAGACCCTAATTGTTGGGGGCAATATGCTAAACTCTAAACAGAGAGGGCTATAAAAGAACTGTGAAGTGGTATAAGTGCTACTGCTATTTACATAATGCCTCTGATAAGCCAACTACTCTACAAACAATGGACATTTTAAAGAATGAACCAAGTATTTGAAGGAAACATGCATATGTTTTAGATATTTCACATTTTTTCCAGAAAATATAGTAGGTCCCATTAAGCTGATAAACAATTTGGACCAGCAGAAAGTCTTATTTTCATTTATCAGGGTGGGGGTGGCTATGGTGGCTATTCCTATTTTAGCTTCTTCACTCTCTCAGGAAAAAAAAGTAAGCTAAGAGGATTAATTTCAGTTTTAAATAGAAAAGTGTCATATCAGAATTGTTTTGCTCAAACGTTAACATTGAAGCATAAAAAATGTTATATCTTAAAACAAGATGTTTCAGCTTCAGCTTTCAAAATATCATGAAATGTGATATGTGGTTTTTTTAAAAACAGAAAAAAATCTGAAATCTGTCACCTCTGCTCAAACTTCCTTTTCAATTTACCAAGCCTCCCCAAAATGAGTAAAAGAAGAAAGACTCAAATTTCAGGTAACAGAAATATATATATTATTTCAGGTAACAGAAATATATATATATATTATTTTATTTATATCTTCTTAAAATCTTTAATATCTGATTGGGTGCTACAATGTATGGTAGCTTCCTATATCCTTCAGTTTAAGCACTAGAATGCAGTATTGCAGGCTAATTCTGCCAACTGCCAGCAATTCGATTCTGATCAACTCAAGGTTGACTCAGCCTTCCATCCTTCCAAGGGCAGTAAAATGAGGACCCAGATTGTTGGGGGCAGTAGGTTAACTCTATAAACTGCTTGGATAGAGCTGTAAAGCATTTGAAGTGGTATATAAGTCTAAGTGCTATTGCTGTTTGCAAGCATGCTACCCCAATCCAGAGGTACACCGATCTCCAAAATCAATAAGTCTGCAGTACTGGTAAGATCTGCTTTCCATGAAGTTACCCAATCCTGTTTGAAAAGATCATCATGCATACAATATTGGTATAATGAATTCCAGAAAGATAATTTTTCTTTGTGCACTTTATCTGTTACATCAATCCGAGTAGAATGTTGGCAAGATGCATTATGTTAAAATAAGCTTTCTTTAGTCTTTTTAAAATCTCTTTCTAATCAGTTTCATTGGGTAAACCATAATTTTATTGACCCACTTTCTCCATGCCAGCACGATTTTATATAAAGATTATTTTCTTTATATAAAATCTCATGTCCCCCTCCACAATCATTTGGTTTGCCCTCTTCTGTACTGTTTTTCAGCTTTATATTTTTTCTCAAATATGGCAAAGACCAAACAGAATACTCCAAATGCAAATATATTATAAATTACTAAAAGGGTATTTACTAGGTACATATTTTTATTTTCAATTTTTTCCCTAATAGGAAGAATTGAAGGATCTGTCCAAAGATGCAATGAGAATACTATGCAATGCCTGCCATTTTTAGAAATAATATTGATAGCCTATGCTTTAAAAAACTTAGTATAGGTTATTTATTTATTTAAGAAAAAAATAAAATTTAACTTAAGAAAACCATGGTCTCCCAATTTACAAGGATAAAAACACAATATATTGAACTGAATACTTTATTTGGCCAAATGTGATTACATACACAAGGAATTTGTCTCTGGTACAGAACCTCCCAGTATACATGCAAAGCAACAAAATAATAATAAACATAAAAGCAATAAAAAAGCAACAATTCTTATCCCCTTAATGGCAACAATCAAATTAAACATTTGATGGCAGTGGTGGGATTCAAAAAGTTTTACCACTGGCTTGGTGGGCGTGGCTTGGTGGGTGTGCTTTGCACGTGTGCACACACTTTACGTGCGTGCATGCCAAACGCTCACTTTGCGCAGGCACAGAGGCATTTGTGCAGGCGCAGAGGTGTTCCAACTCACCTGCCAAGCCTGCATTCTCCCAGTCACTTCAGCAGCTGCTGTGCAGCACTCTACTGTGCCGCGCAAAGCAGCTGCGCTTCAGAAACAGGATAAAGGTGAGTATGGGAGCCTGGGCGGGCGGATGAGCCCAACAGCAGAGTGGTGGAGATAACCGATTCAGTCTCCGCTGCTCATCGCCACTACTAGCTTGGCAGAACTGTGCCAAACCAGTCGAACACCACCACAGTTTGATGGGCTCATCCCTCTCTGGGGTCCCCAGGCTCATTGGCAAAACCAGGTCTTTGGGGCCTTGTGTCAGAGTTTCAAAATGGGGGCTAATCTCATCATTTCCAGTGCGAATGATGTTCCATGGGGAGAATTTAATTTTAGTATTATATTAATAGGAATTGTATACATTATGCATCATATTGTATAGAGTCCTTGTGGCACAGTGGTTAGAATGCAGCATTGCATGCTAATTCTGCTGACTACTGATTACCTGCAGTTCCGCAATTCAGTTCTCAGTGGCTCAAGGTTGACTCAGCCTTCCATCCTTCTGAGGTTGGTAAAATGAGGACCAGATTGTTGGGAGCAATATGTTGACTTTATAACTGCTTAGAGAGGGCTGTAAAGCACTGTGAAACAGTATATGTCTACATGCTATTGCTATATAATATTTGTAATTCAATCAATAGGACATTCATTTTCATTTGGTAAGTACTAAACAGTTTGCTGTGTTTCTTATGTATTACTGTTTATTAATGTTATTTTCCCCTCTCTCTCAAAAGAAGAAAATAAGGAGGAAGGCATTTCTAAGCCAAAGAAGAATACTAGAGAGAAAATGCATTTGACAAGAGAATGTGATCTAGAAAGGTTAACCCAAGCTTCTCAGACTAGTCATTCTCTCTCTATACCAGAAGTATATGAAGAATGTAAAGAAATTTTTGGAGAAGATCAGGAGCTAAGGTAACATATGCATGTATGTATGTATGTATGTATGTATGTATGTACACTGCTCAAAAAAATAAAGGGAACACTTAAACAACATAATGTAACTCCAACTCAATCACACTTCTGTGAAATCAAACTGTCCACTTAGGTAGCAACAATTAGGCAGCAATTCCACTTAGGAATCAATTTCACATGCTGTTGTACAAATGGAATAGACAACAGGTGGAAATCATAGGCAGTTAGCAAGACATCCCCAATAAAGGAGTGGTTCTGCAGGTGGTGACCACAGACCACTTCTCAGTTCCTATGCTTTCTGGCTGATGGGTTGGTCACTTTTGAATGCTGGCGGTGCTTTCACTCTACTGGTAGCATGAGACGGAGTCTACAACCCACAAAAGTGGCTCAGGTAGTGCAGCTCATCCAGGATGGCACATCAATGCGAGCTATGGCAAGAAGGTTTGCTGTGTCTGTCAGCGTAGTGTCCAGAGCATGGAGGCACTACCAGGAGACAGACCAGTACATCAGGAGACGTGGAGGAGGCAGTAGGAGGGCAACAACCCAGCATCAGGACCACCACCTCCACCTTTGTGCAAGGAGGGACAGGAGGAGCACTGCCAGAGCCCTGCAAAATGACCTCCAGCAGGCCACAAATATTCATGTGGCTGCTCAAACGGTCAGAAGCAGACTCCATGAGGGTGGTATGAGGGCCCGACGTCCACAGGTGGGGGTTGTGCTTACAGCCCAACACTGTGCAGGACGTTTGGCATTTTCCAGAGAACACCAAGATTGGCAAATTCGCCACTGGCGCCCTGTGCTCTTCACAGATGAAAGCAGGTTCACACTGAGCACATGTGACAGTTGTGACAGGGTCTGGAGACGCCGTGGAGAACGTTCTGCTGCCTGCAACATCCTCCAGCATGACTGATTTGGCAGTGAGTCAGTAATGGTGTGGGTGGCATTTCTTTAGGGGGCCGCACAGCCCTCCATGTACTTGCCAGAGGTAGCCCGACTGCCATTAGGTACCGAGATGAGATCCTCAGACTCCTTGTAAGACCATATGCTGGTGCGTTTGGCCCTGGGTTCCTCCTAATGCAAGACAATGCTAGACCTCATGTGGCTGGAGTGTGTCAGGAATTCCTGCAAGACGAAGGCATTGATGCTATGGACTGGCCCGCCCATTCCCCGACCTGAATCCAATTGAGCACATCTGGGACATCATGTCTCGCTCCATCCACCACAGACTGTCCAGGAGTTGGGGGATGCTTTAGTCCAGGTGTGGGAGGAGATCCCTCAGGAGACCATCCGCCACCTCATCAGAAGCATGCCCAGGCATTGTAGGGAGGTCATACAGGCACGTGGAGGCCACACACACTACTGAGCCTCATTTTGACTTGTTTTAAGGACATTACATCAAAGTTGGATCAGCCTGTAGTGTTTTTTTCCACTTTAATTTTGAGTGTAAATTTGCTAAATTTGATTTCCATTGATAATTTTTGTGTGATTTTTGTTGTCAGCACATTCAACTATGTAATGAACAAAGAATTTAATAAGAATATTTCATTCATTCAGATCTAGTATGTCTTATTTTTGTGTTCCCTTTATTTTTTTGAGCAGTGTGTGTGTGTATATCTATATCTATATCTATATCTAATCTATATCTATATCTATATCTATATCTATATCTATATCTATATCTATATCTATATATAAAAACACCAATCAAGCAGAACACAGCAAACTCCAAGACCAATAAACACAGACCAAGACTCCCAACCAATCAGGATGAAGAAAAAACCATTCTGGCACAGCAATAGGCTGCCCCAAATTTAAATCTGAAACCACTGTAAAAGTCTGACTCAAAGATAAACACAATACCCGAACAAAGCTGAATACCATACATGTAAGTACCCACAAAAACTTATATATATATGGTATTCAGCTTTGTTCGGGTATTTTCCCACGTCATTATAGTTGTGGGAAAATACCCGAACAAAGCACCAGCCTGAGGATGGCGAGTGGGACCTCGCCGAAACGTCACCAAGATACTCTTACTCTTACACGGGAGAAGACCCGAACACACCTAGACCTACATACCTGTACCCGTGAAAATCTACGAAAACAAATATACATATACATATACATATACATATACATATACATATACATATACATCTTATTTATTATATATATATATATATATATATATATATATATGACAATCATTGTTTTAACATACATGCATCTTCTCTCCCCTCTCACACACACACCTAATTCCAAAACAGTGTCCCCACCAGATATTCTGGAAATGGTTTAGGACAATAATTACTGAATTTTCAGCCAGCTTATTCAAATACATATGGAAAAGTAAGGCACTGTGGAAAGATTGGCTTAGATGGACTGTCCCAAAGGTGCTTTTTCAAAAGGCAACTGGACTTTTTCCCCCAAAGTGGACAGGTTCCCCCCCACCCCATTGGATAGTTATGATGGTGATCATATTCCTGTTAGATACAGACTGGATTCTAGCAGGATGAGAGGTAGCACCATTTAGAACAGTGAATATAGCTAATTCACTGATGTGGTTGGTACATTTTTTTCCTTTTCTGCTTTAGTGTTGCCTGTTTACTGGAGAGATTGGTGCCTGACAACTCCCAGTAAATTGATTTGTAACCCCTGTCGATAAAACCATAATGGTTTCTCTCAAAATCGATCTTTCTTCCTTCAATGAATGTATTTAAATAATAAAGAATAGTTAATCCAGTAAAATAAAGACTGGGTTAGGGAATACTAGGAAAATAATCTGAGAATTTCTTTTTAAAAAATCAGCATATTTTATGGCCACAAGACTAATTTACTTTACTCCAGAGTGGCTTTAAAATGTTTGACAAGGATTCAGCAATGCTCAGCAATTCCTGAAAACAAGTACTCTGATTGCAAACCACCTGGCAATTACTACATTGAAGAAATAACACCTGATTAATTCATGTTTACACTTTAGTTTTTACAAAATTCACACTCCTGGTCAGTTAATGCCTTCGTAAAATGTACTTGGACAATGTCTGTTGAATTTAAGAAATCAGATCACTAAAATTTTGCTATTGAAGAACACGTTGGGAATATCCTATTTTATATTCTTCCTGATAAAATGTTATTTTTAATTTATAGCATCATAGAATCATAGGGCTGGAAGAGACCTTGAATATCTTCTAATCCAATTGCCTGCCCAAGGCAGGACTTTATACCATCCTGCACAAATCATTGTCCAATCTTTTCTTGAACACTTCCAGCAATGGAGCACCCACAACTCGGGGAGGCAAGCTGTTCCATTGATTAATTGTTCTCACTGTCAGAAAATTCCTCCTTAGTTCCTGGTTGGATCTCCCTCTAATGAGCTTCCACCCAATACTTCTTGTCCTGCCCTCAGGTACTATGCAGAATAAATCAGTCCCCTCTTCCTTGGGGCAGCCCTTCAAGCTATCATGTTACCCCCTAATCCTTCTCTTCCTTAGGCTTAGCCTTTCATCATACAATCTGACCTCCAGACCCCATATCATCTCTGTTATTCTGCTCTGCACTCTTTCTAGGGTCAGCACCTTTTTTTGTATCATGGAATTGGACACCGTATTTCAAGTATGGCCTCACTAGGGCAGTATTTAATAGTACTACCGGTATATACAGTAACTTCCGGTGATCTTGATGCTGTCCCTCTGTTGATGCGGCCTAGGACTGCATTGGCTGTTTTTGATTCTTAATTAATAATCAAAAATGAACTTAGATCTGCAAACTTAAAAAGAGACAACCGATGCCCATGTTTGAAAGCAATTATAGAATTCAAAACGAACTATATATCGATATTTAAAAGACGAATTAATTAATTTAAAGCTTGAATGAAGTTACCAAGCTAATCTCAGTGTACAAATACAAGACACAAAGCAATAACTGCAGGAAGGACCTTGGAGTCCTAGTGGACGATCAGCTAAATATGAGGCAGCAGTATGCTGCAGCCACCAAAAAAACTAATGCAATCCTAGGCTGCATTAATAGAGGAATAGAATCAAGATCACGGGAAGAATTAGTACTGCTTTACAATGCCTTAGCAAACCACACTTGGACTACTGCATCCAGTTTTGTCTCCACAATATAAAAAAGATGTTGAGACTCTGGGAAGCCTGCAGAGAAAAGTAGCAAAGATGATTAGGGGGCTGGAGGCTGAAACATATGAAGAACAGTTGCAGAAATTGGGTTTGTTTAGTCTAGTGACATGATAGCAGTGTTCCAATATTTGAGGGTCAGGCCCAGGGCGTCAATTTATTTTCCAAAGCACCAAAAGGCAAGACAAGAAACAATGGATGGAAACTAACCAAGTAGAGAAGCAATCTAGAACTAAGGAGAAATTTCCTGACAGTGAGAACTGTCAACCAGTGTAATGGCTTGCCTTCAGAAGTTGTGGGTGCTTCATCACTGGAGGTTTTTAGGAAGAGACTGGATAACAATTTGTCAGAGATGGTCTCCTGCTTGAGCAGGGGGTTGGACTAGAAGACCTCCAAGATCCCTTCCAACTCTGTTATTCTGTTCTGTTACTTCTAGTTTGAACTCTCAGATAACACTGCTCCCAGCCATGTGGTTCACCTCCTTTTTTATCCATTATTACTGAATAACAGTATTCCCCTATAATAATATATTCCACTCTAACAAAGGTAACGATTGTTCCTGGTTGTTGAAATGTCCATTTATCACAAAATCGTCACCAGTCACTGTTAGCATGGCAAGAGGGTAAAAAATATGGGGGTTTTTTGGATGGGGGGTGATGTAGCTGGAGATATATGGACCATATATGGAACTCTGCTTCTGGATTTCCACCTTGCAATGTTCTAGAAAATGAAGGGTAGGGAATATTAATTAAATATCCGTTCAGTTTGGGCAGGCAAACTTATTGCTGTAGACACTGCCTGGGAAATACTGGTGGGCAGGTTATATCCAGTAGTTTCTCTACTGTCAGCTGTGGCACTGGAACAGCCAACATCAGATATCCAAGTGTCCTTTAATAGAACTAAGAGTCCAGTAAATGCTGTTCTGCAATCTCTGTAATATATAGGACTGAATTTGCATCTCCTGGTGGTGTATTTGAATCTTCAGTGACTGAAACTGGTTGTCTATCAAATTCCCTATCTTTGAGGATTGTTAGAGAAGAACTAATTAGTACTGCTTTCACAGCCTTCTATATAGGGCACAAAGACCAAGTCATTTAGTGGGGCAGCCATCTTATACACTGTGCTTAAAGTTTGCATAAGAACCTCTAACTCACTGGTTCTCAGGCTATGGTCTGCAGATCCTTGGGGGGGGGGTGTGCAATGTCATCACAGTGGGTCTGTTAAGGATTGAAGAAATGTTATGATTTAAATCTCGAGTTAAGTTTTGGGGTTCCATGGCCATGGTCTGTGGTCACAAATGGTAGTTAAAGGGGGTCTGTGATGAAGAAAAGTTTGAGAGTTGCTGGCTTTGGGTACGCCACAGCCAGCCAATTCAGCAACAGCTCAGCCAGGGAAGCTGGTAGAGCAGCACAAATCAAACTGCTGCCTGGGGCCCATCTTAAGCCACAGTGTCTCACATCTGGATAAACTGCAGAGCAAAATTTCTGAAAGCCATTAAAAGATATTTAATAGGGGGCCCATGGTAAATAAAAGATTGAGAACCACTTCTCTGACTTCTTTAGTAAACCTTCCTCTTCACTGCTTGACAAGGCTGCAAAGGTGTCAAGTAATTATGCGTCTATAAATTAAACTGCAATCTATCCTCCTCTTTCTGCCTGAACTTGCTTATCTGAATAAGCATCTTCAGAAGACAGAGCTGGTTTGTTATCTTTGCAAGAGAACCGCTCTTTGCAAGAGAACCGCTCATTCTCATTTCACTTACAGCCCATCTTATTAGGAAGCCACTCCACCAGTGGTGGGATTCAAATTTTTTTACTACCAGTTCTGTGGGCATGGCTTGGGGGCATGGCGTGGCATGGTGTGGCGTGGCGTGCGTGGCGTGGTGTAGCGAGTGTGGTGTGGTGAGCGTGGCAGGGGAAGGATACTGCAAAATCCCCATTCCCTTCCCAACCCACTAACCTGCTTTCCAGCTCCGTTCTCCTGTGCAGGGCAACAAAAGAAGACCCAGCCGATCAGCTGGGACTCGGGAGGCAGAGAAGAGATGGGAGTGGGGCTATTCAGAGGTGGTAAATGCCGGTTCTCCGAACTACTCAAAATTCCCGCTATCAGTTCTCCAGAACTGGTCAGAACCTGCTGAATACCATCACTGCACTCCACCAAATATATGTCAGTTGCATAGTAATGACATTGAAGTAACCAACTTAGGGAATGAACATTGCTTTCTTTGAACCTCACTGTCTGCTATTGAGTCTATTAAGGGTGATTTGTAGGTAAATCTGGTTAATTTGCAATATACAGTTGTTTTGAGTTTGATTTTCAACCCTTCTGTGTCTCAAAAGTAAAAGAACAGGATTGCCGGGGCGGGGGGGATGTTGTTCCCTTTTCACAGTACATTCAATTTACTGAGTCTTTACTTTGAGTTACAGCAGCTTGATCATTTTTAGATTCAGAGGTTTCTACTCCAGTAAACAGAAGCAGAAATAATTTATCATATACACATACATAACAAAAATACAAATCAATAATGGAGATGATAATCTCATAACTGTTACGTTCATTATATTGGAACAGCACAGTGAGGTTTTAAACTAGATTTTTTTCCTCCCCAGTAGAATCATAGAGTTAATTTATTATGATAGGACTGAGTAAATACATCAAGGGGGTCTTTCAGTGAATCATTTTCACTTTTATTTCTGTTAAATAATCAACAATTTACAAAGCAGTCTGTACTATCAGTAAGCTTTGCCTAGACATGTCATCCATAGTTTTATTTTTATAAACCTCTTCCTGACAACTTTTTGGGGTAGATGCTGCAACTAAACTTGCTGTAGTTGCTTCAAGAAGAGGAAACTGTTAGAGGCGCAGGGAATTTGGTTTCTCATGTTATTGGTGAGATGGTCCAGTACATCTTAACCTTGTGAGTCCCAATTCAACACACCATTTTTGTCTGGAGTCACCTGGCTTACTAATAACACTAATGCTGATGGTTGTCATTACTTAACATTATCTTCATTATCTATCATCTAGTTTTTGTTACTTGGTTGGTTTAAGCGATGTCTACATGCCAGCATTCATTCTTGTCATGTTTTCCTCTTTCCCATGCTGCAATCTTGTCTTGATGGTAAAACATACTTTAATAAGTTCTCACCCAGTATTAGTACTGAATAGTAGCATTAGCTGTTGAGAAAAATTATATAAATTGTCATGGTCCCAAAGCTAGATGTCCCAACAATATTGGGGCCGGTTGAAGACTTGAAGAGGGATTCCAAGTGCTGGTAAAATCCTCCTAATTCTCAACCTTCAAATAGTAGAGATGTCCAAAGCCATGATTATCTAAATGCCTGTTCCCAGGAAATGAAATAATTGTAGTACACATTTCTTTGCTAGCCAGAACAATATATGCGATTGGCTTCCTTCCCATTTGTATCCTAATTGTTTAATCCAATACTGGTAAGCCTCATATCCCTTTCTAGTCCCACATAACTTTAATACACCATATCTTGTGCACAATTTATCTGATATTTTCCATTTCCCTCTTCAATGTACTGTATGCATTATTTCCTCATAGCTCTTTTTCGTTTTGTTTTTTAATGCAAGCCACTTTAAATATGCTCACCAGATGCCATTAATTTGAATATCCAGTTGATCAGAATCTCATTTTTTAAATATAACTGTAGCTTGAAAAAATGGTAGAACAACTGCTTTCATAAAGTACATAAAGAGTTAATTGACACTCTCATATAAATGCTTGTAATTCTTTATAAACAATTGGTTCTCTGAGTATATGAAAGATAATTTATTGCACACACATACCAGAAATGCAAACCAATAATGGAGATAATAAACTCATAACTCTTAAGTTTGTTATATTGCAGCAGCACAATGAAGTTTTCAACTAGATTTTTTTTCTCAGTAGAGAAAATTTGGGAGAAACCATTAAAATATCACAAAGTGGTATACTAGGTTTTAAATTGAACCTGACACAAATGGCTTATTCCTTAATAATTTTATGGAGAACGAAACTGAATAGATAATTTTCTGTAGTGGAAGGAGGAGGTACTCTACAATAATTCCTTAAAATGAGACACTGTTTTTTGGTGAAAAATTCCAATGGAAGGAAATCTGTCACAATTTTCTTCCTTGGGATTTAACCAAAGAATGGAAAATGAGGGAAGCTTCAGACTGTGGGAGACTGGATATTAATTGATGCATGTAGTTTGGGACAATTGGCAACTAAAAACGTGCAAAAGGGGAATGCCATTTACTATTAATGATAATTCAAATTTATTTCTCTTTGAACAAATATACAATGCAAATGCTCTTCAATCAAGGGGAAAATGAATCTGTGTGACTGTAATATACACTTATAATAAAATAGAATGCGAATATAGAAGGACGAGATGTGCGCTTCTTGCTTCACTTCAATTGCAGAGAACAAAGTTCATTTATAGGAAGGTGAAAGCCATCTTTTCCCTATTGCAGGATCCTTCTTTTGGATAGATTTAAATTAGTAATTTGTTGTTTCTAAATCAGAATTCATTTTTTTCAGCTCTGCCAAATTACTTAAGGATTATTCTGAAAAGAAAGAGCTAGATTACACTAAGGTTGCAATACCTTCTTCACAAGTAAGTATATTCCAATTTCAATGCAAAAATGACCATCTTAGTATATATTTCACAATGTAATTGCAGTTTACATTGTCTTTTTTCTTGGAGGTTTCTGCTTTCCAAAGTTTGCAGGAAATCTTCCCTTAACTACCAGTTGTTCAGTGATCATTTAAAATGATGATGGAATTAGTAGTTACAACCAGTCGTTGAGATTATGGCCCTTGCAGTGCCTCCACCACTTCCACAGTCCAGTTATAAATGTTTAGGCACTTGGCAGCCCACCAATGACAATATTTGGCTGCCAACATTTATAGCACTTACTTCAACTCTTCCCCTTCCACCTATCTCCTCTCATTTTTGTACTTTTGGCTGCCCTGCACTCCACCTTTACTAACCCTCACAGTCTTCTTCCTACTAGCTCAGAATTTTATTGTAATTTCTAATTAAGATGACATCTGTTGCTAGAGAATGTTGCCTCTCAAATCTTTATCAAATTGTACATACTTGATCTTCACATATATTCTATTTAGTCTGGGGGTATCTCTTGAGGGAGTAGCACTGCTGGACTCATAACTACTGTTGGAAGAGCAGATGGAGGCCATTGCCATGAGCCTTTTTGTCCAGGTCCAACTAATATGCCAGTTGCAGACCTTCTTGAGCAGGAAGATCTTGCTACAGTGACTTATGCCCTCATCACTGCACATCACTATTACTGCACCCCTCTCTAAATGGGCTGCCTCTTAAGAAGCTGCTATTGGACTAGAATGCAGTGGCCTACGTATTGTCCAGCGGTCAATGATATAACCATATGATACCAGTTCCGAAGAAGCCTAGGCTTGGTATCTTAATTGTAGCTTTCCAGGTATAATTCAAAGTGCTGCTTTTGGATACCTCACAAATCACCTCCTTTAATTGGATTTGTCCATCTGAGGCATCTCTACCAGAATCATTTGTTGATAATGCCCCATTCCTGGGAACTTGAGGTCCAAAGTTCAGGTGCTTCTCTTTGCCCTAGTCTTCTGAAATGGTCTCCCCATAGAAGTGAGCTTGATTCTACTAATAGCCTTTTGGAAGGTAGTTAAAGGTATTTGGGTGAAATGTGGAGTTGTTGGGGTTGGTTGTCTTACATGTTAAGACATGTAATGTTAATGTTACAATAATCTTAATATTAACTTAATTTTTATTTTCTGTGTACTCTGGAAATGTGCTCTGGATCAGGGGTTGCCAACCTTTTGGACCTCAGGACCACCAAACTCATAATTTTAAATACCAGGGACCACTAACCGGTTCTGTGGGCATGGTCTAATTTGTGGGTGTGTCTTGGTGGTCATGTGACTGGCTGGCCATGGCTTGTATGTAAATATTATAAATATTTATATAAATATTGATTTTTTTAATAAAAAAAGAGCAACTTTTACCAAAATCAGGCAAAGCAGGCAGGCAGATTGAGTTGCTCACAGGATCACAGATTCATTCAGAGATCTATCTGCCATTGGCTAGCTCAGTCTGTCACATAAAATTTGCTTGCAAGCAAACTCAACAAAATTAACTCACAACACACCATGTATGTAAACATTGAATTTTTATTTTAAAAAAGAGCAACTTTTACCCAAAATCAGGCAAAGCAGGCAGGGCAGATTGAGTTGCTCACATAATCATTCAGTGATCTATCTATCTGCCATTGGCTAGCTCAGTCTGTCACATAAAATTTGCTTGCTGTGAGTCTGCACTGAATAATAGAACTTTCAGTCCTAAGGGAGGTTCGGCTGTGCTTAAAATCAGAGCTGAAGATCTAAAGACTAGTGAGAACGCAAGAAATGCAACCATTTCCTGCTTTCTAGCTAATCTAAATCTCCCGGCACAGCAGAACAGCTGATGGTTGGAAAGAAAAAAAAAGGAAAAATAGCAACTTAGCAGGCAAGTTTGCCAGGTAAGGAGTGTGTGGGCGGGGAGGGTTCCTGCAGGCCATGTGGGTGGCGCATCCTTGTGTTCCTGCACAGCATGGATTAATTGCTTTGGGAGGTGCTCTGGGGGTGAGATTTCTCTGAGGACCACCAAAATTTTCTCGCAGCCCACCAGTTGGCGACCGCTGCTCTGGATGGTGAGCATGGAGGAGAACGGTAACAGGGAAACTGAGCCACTAAGATTTAGGAAGAAGGAAGGGAAAGTAAAAACTGTTTCTTTTGCTGACAGAAAAACATTGTGCTGAATTACAGAACCAACCACAGAACCAACTAATTACAGAACCGTTATGGCTTTTCTCCCATAGTATATTTTTCTAGCTTAATCACTAAGCAAAATCTTTATGCATATGGAATAATTTTACTGAGCCAAACTGAGTACTTTAATTTTAAAAGTTGTTGAGGAAGTGAATATGACTGTCTCATTTTTTTATTATAGAATAGGAAGCTCATACCAACATTTACTAAGTCAAAGAAATCATTGATTAAAAGACAAGAAAAGTGTTTTGAGGAAACTACAGCAATTTGTACCAAAGAGGTATGAGCTGGTATTCACAACAAACTTTCTGCTTATTTACAATATAATATGATATTTGCCACCATTAAAAAGTGGTTGTGGTTACATGAAAAAGAAATATTTCAAAAGTAATGAAATACAACTATTATATTTTTGCTGCTATTTACAATTATTTATTTGTGCAGTAGTGAAGCTTTGTAGATGCATTTCTGAAGCTAAGCATTTTCTTGTTCATGTTGAGCATGGCATTGAAATATTTTTATTCAAAGGCCTTTAATTTTGATGATTCCCGACTTTGACTCTGGGCAGGTCACAAAATAAGGAGAATGCATATAACAAATGAATAGGAATACAAGAAAAATTAATCCAAAAATATTTTAAAGACTTAGCTACAGTGTTATATAGCTATATGGTGAACTTATTTATATTCATTGATAATAGAAGAGAACTTGAAAGTGGTAACAAGGATCAAAATATAAATACTGGATAATTAAAAATTTATTTTTATGAGGTGAGAGAAAAAATATTCAGAAAATGCTAAATATTTGCACTGCTTTTTTATCTACTCATCTTTTTTTTGTCTTTTGAAAGGGTCAACATGTGGATAAAAATGTATCTAGAACAGCAAATACTGTCCATAACCCAGTTACATCTGCAGAATCATCAGTGACAAAAATGGGGAATGCTAGAGATCAAATAATCCTTCACTGTGACGGAATAAATGAAAGACTAGATATAAAAATACAAGATAAATATGAGATTAAAAAAATAAACAATAATGATGTTGCAATAGGATTCTCAGATTCTCAGCAAGAAGCAGGAATTGAAGCAAATTCACAAGCAAGCAGCTACAAAGAAGAAATACCACAAAAGCAAGTTTCTTTTTCTCTATGTGTATCAAGTAATAATGATGTGAATGATTCTGAAAAGAAAGCTCTCCCTATAGAGCCACTTAAGTACCAACTGGCGAAGCAGATGAATGTAAGCATGTTGCCAGAAGATAAGAGTATTGACCACATTAAAAGTGGCCAAAATGAAGAAGAGCGTCTGGATAGTTCAGGCACAAATGTGCAACAAGATAAATCGATGCAGATTATCTTGAAAGCAGATGAAACAGATGACCCTAGCTGGATGAATAATGGAAAGGGGAAAGATTCACGTTATTCCGAGTGCATAGATAGCCAAACACAAAAGGCAACCAATGTGATTCAACTCCCAGTTATTGAAGATATATTAATTCCTACATCAGGAAAATTTAACAGTTCTCCATGTACAACTAGTGTAAATAAACAGAGAAATGCCAATGTCAAAGAAATAGAGGGACTTCCAGATAAAAGTGGAAAAACTGAAGAACAAAATGACAACTGTACATGTAGCAATGATGAAATTACTGCACCTGGAGCCTCTAAATCTGAGGTACTGAGTAAAAAAGCTTTTGATCAGCAGAACCTCGAAACAAATGGCAAACCTGTAGAGAAAGGTATTGGAAGCACAGACTCTTGTAGAAAAGATTCAATTCCTGCAGAGCAAAATAGCATCAAAAACCAAGGTATTTCTGGGGAAGACTTTCTGTATGTTCAGCCTGTTGATCCCTGTTTAGAAAAGGAACTGGGTCATTCTGAACCAATTTGTGACCAGATCATTTTAAAAGACAGTCTGATTTCCCCACAGTTTAATGAGGATGTTTTACCCGAAAGGAGAAAAATTTATTTGGAGGATACTGTTTGCATAAAAGAGAGCATTTATAACTCGACTGAACCAAATGTTCCTACTCTGCTGATCCAAAAAGAGAATACAATTTGTTCTGAACATTTGATGTTGAATATGCAGCAATCGGAACTCAGAGAAAATAATTTGATTATAGACAATATTATGAATGCATTGCCAAGCAGACATGTTGTTGAGAAAACAGTGAAGGTTTCCGAGGCAGAACCAAAACCAAGGAAAAATGTCTTCTTTTCTAGCAATATCTGTATGGCAGATGAAGAATCAGCCCAGCGTGAAGGAAATGGGAGCAGACTCGACCAGGTGGAAAGCAACCTTCATTCTGAAGAAATTCTTCCACCACAGGTGTTGGGTGACCCCAATAAGGAAGTTAATGTGCAGTCAAAAATGCAAGGGTCTTTTGCTGAATATGGGCCAGATTCCAGCATCAGTGCACCAAATGATCTTGACACGGTAGCTCAAGCATATTCTCCTTGCCCAGATTCCTTTTCTCTGGATCTGGAGTCTTTGCCTAACACTCCATTGGAGGGCGTCCTGGAAAGCCATGGCGTTGAATTTCAATCGCAGAAAGTAAGCTGATTACTAATCACTAATTTTTTTAAAAAGTGCTATTAATTGTTATTTAACAGAACAGATGAGGCCTTAAAATTTGATTATTATTAATGGTGTTTAGGTCCTTCACAATTAACACTCAATGTCATATTGATTTGGGAAGAAATGATCCTGTACTTTATTAAATTTATATGCTGCCCATCTCACTCTGCAAAGCAAGTCTGGACAGCTTTATATACTTTATTATGTATTATATAACTTAAATTCTTGTTATTTAAAAACTAAAATAGTCTTTGAGGTGGAATCCTTAAAGCTAGGGATATCATTTATAAATCCATTAAGACTGAGGTGCAATTCTTTTCAATATTTTCTATAATTTTAAATATTTTAAATGTAAAAAGTGCTCCAATTAATTGCTGATATCATAGGTCAAGTTCCAGTTTTCATTTTGTTCCATGGTTAATCCAAGCTCCACCCACCCACCCACCTTTTTTTTTTTTTTTTGCTTTTCAGAAACATTCAGCTTCTTTCCCTTATTCTCTCATTTCTTAGTTCTACTATGTGCTTTCTTGGTGGCATCTGGGTGCAAAACAAGTCTTTTTGTCTCTTACTTTAATCAATTTCTAATAAGCTGAATTAAGAAATAGGGCTACTACTTGGCTTTCTATAGTCTTCCTCCTCTTCATTTATAAAGGGGTAGCAATAGGAGGACAGGAGAAAAAGGAAATACAAGTGTCAGGAATTCTGGAAATAGTGGAGAAGAAAAGCTTGCTAACAGAGTACATTGAAAATGAACAAGATTTATTCCCTTGCCACATAACAGATCCTTCCCAAACAGCTAACTGGAAAAGTTTTTTTAAAAATTCCTATACAAAGGTTATTAGCAGAAAAATCAAAATAACACCCCCCACCTTCAAGTAAACTCTTTGTTATGTAGAATACCCATTGTAGCTCTGCCATTTCTTTCCTTTCAGACATGTGTTCTGAATGATTTACAGACATGTTTCAAGGACAAAATTAATCAGTATACCACAAGGAAACAAGGAGAAAATAAAATCTCACCCCCTGATTCTAGTGAAGGATATGCAAATAATGTCAGGTTTGTGGGTTTCCTAATGTGAGTTTTTATTTTGCATTCCCATTCTACATGGTCTAATTAAGGCTGCATTTTCTGTATACAGTCACACACACAAGTGTATGTATGTTTACCTGTATCCGAGTAAAAGTTTATGCTAACATTCCATTTTTTTAATCTACTCTTTTTCTCATGCTTTTAGCAGACTGTTAAAAAAAAGCAAAAGAGCAAAATGCAGAATTAAAATTTGTATTCTCGAAAGATGTCTACATTTAGTGTAATATCATAATGTCTAGCAGCTTTGTGCTTCTCCTTTGTACCTAATATTAGACATTTTGGGATAGGAACAGAAAGTTTTATGAATAAGATATCTAAGATTTGGTGGTAAAAGCACTTGCTAAAAACATATTTAATATTAAATTGTACTCTAAAATGTACTTAAAAATGAATTTAAAAACTATGATGCCTGTTAGTTGCTTAACATTTAAGGGCATTTTTACTATTGAAAAATCATTGATATGCCATTGATCTGCCCTAATTCTTTTATCGTATTTTTTTAAAATCAGAGATGAAATGATTTGTGATTCATCCAAACAGGAGGATGCAACAGAGGTTGTTTATGGATTAATTAAAGAACTGTCTAATCTCAAGTAAGAATATATTTGTTATAAAACACATGAAAGAGTTTAAATACAGTAGGCAGGCATCTTCATAATATCCTAGCATGGAAGGGACCGGTTCTTTTTACCAAAGGTTCCAGATTTATCACTGTCAAAGGTTTTTCAAATGAGTCCAACAGACAAATGAAATTATGTCATATGACCACAGGTTTTCCACTCTTGACCTAAATATCCTTATCTACTAACTGCCTTGTTTAGCAACCATTCAAAAATATGAACAACAGGTTACATAAATAATAGCTTGCACTCACATTAAATTTCCCACCAGACAAATCAGTAGAGACAAACCAATTCCCAGGGAGGACTTATTAAAAATCAAAATGCATTGCCAATTGTTGGAAGAAATATCCTTCTGGATTCAGTTCCAAGTGGGGAAAAAGACACTGGAAACATGGAGGGTGTTTGGAAGGTTTAATATCAGGACCACATGGCCTGGAGCTCCAGAGTGAAAAGGAAGATCACATGCTTCAAGGTGAAGGAGATCAAAAAATAACTGAGGTGCTGAGAGTGCCTGGGTTTTATACCCTCTGTTGGGATTTGAATTTGAGCTTGTATTCTAATTAGTTGTCAGACCCCCATATAGAGTTGCAGGAGCAACTCTGTTGGCTGTCCTGAGTTCCAGGCTTGGTTGAGCCTTGCTGGATGATTATGCCCTTAAAAGGGCTTTTGGCAATTGCTATAGCTTTACCTGCAGATCTTTGTTATGTAAAGTATTCTGGCCCAGGCCTTAATGGCCAACCCATTAACAAAGGTGGGGATGAGTTTCTACTTTTGAGTTTCTACGCTTTTTAGAGGAAATATTCTGCCTTTTTAATATTTCCTAGGATACTTCAATTTTCTAGGAGAGGTGTGGGTGCTAACGTCCTACAGCATAACACCCACTGATTGTCACTTATAACTTGCAACTCTAGCCACTAAAACATTATGACCCATATTGGGCAATGGCGCTACACTTTTTTTCAGGTACTGGGTGGCAGTTCTTGCTTGTCTAGAGAAAACCATCAAACCTGAAATGGGTTCTCACAAACGATAAGAAATGGTAACAGCACAAGACCCTGAAACAAAGCTTATGACCATGTTGCTCACAAATCTTTTATTTCATCTCCCCACATTAAACTCACATATATCAGATGGTCGCAATAAACAATGGGTTTTTAACCCATTATAATTGCTAATTGATAGGATACAAGTACTTGCAATCATGGTACCTGCACCTGTAAAAATCAGTCTCCCTTTAAATCTTACATCAGTTTAGCCATGCATCTGATGAAATGTACCTTAGTTCACAAAAAAACTTATTCCTTTCATTAAAATCTGCTAGTCTGAAAAGATTATCAGACTCTTCCTGATTTATATTAAAGGTTGTTTCTAGTGTGTTTTCAATGCCTGAGCACTAATATATTTAGGATGTCCCTAGGTGGAACCAAAATGCCCACTAATTATAATGGTATAAATAATGGCAATAGATAAAATGGAAACATAAGATCAGACAATGTTTTTATAAATGTCATTCCTTCTATCTCCTAGTGAAGGAAAGTACAAAAAATAACCAACAATAGTGCTTTGTCACTATATAAAACCAAAAGCATTTGGAAGATTATTTTGTGTAGAAAAATCAATTTAAAAGTTTATGCTGTAACATAAACACAGTTAATACTAGAAATTAACAGTCATTGGATTCAAGACAACTACCAATGCAAATTCACTTTTAATTCAACTATCATGAAGTTTACTGAAATAAAACTATATGGATGTCATTTTTTTTCTTTTTAAATTATAATGGTTAGGAATTTAGATAGCTGTGTGAAAAAAGACATTCTGGTCTAATCATGGTTAAATGGAGCTTTGAATTTCAGACTCTTTTTTGTTATGTCTGTACAACAGTGAGAATTTGTAATTTGATTGTTACTTTTTTTTCCAGCCGACTGATCATGAGTACACACAGAGATCTGGATTCCTTCAAGAGACTGAAGTCTCGGAGAAACAAACAACATGGGAGGCTCCTATCCCACGGCATGAACAATATGACAAGTATGGCTTACACAGTGAAAAAGAAGAGAGAATTATAACAAATAGATTCTGTTATTCCCTCAATATTTATAAGAATGTTTGGCTCTACTCTTTGGCAGTTCCTTAGCTATGTCAGCCTATCAGGAGGCATGGTGTTTATTTTCAAACCATCACTTATTTTTCATTTCAATAAAATAGTTTAACATAAAAGTAAATTTTATCTTTGTTTTAGCATCTATCTGGTTATCTCAACTCTGAGAAGAAATAAAGCTAATGTCCTGAAATAACAAGACTTTCCCACTACTTTCCCATCTCTTAAGATGCAGCATTGTTGGGATGTTAACTCTCTCCCATGATTTCTTTATGCAAAAGTGTAGCATAGCTGTTGCTTTTTAAATAAAAGTAAAAAAGCCTCAGTCACACCACAAAATACTACAGACATTATGTACAACACTTTGGTTTAACTATTTAATAGTTTATTGATAAGTTAGAAAAGCTTTGTGCAGTGTGATTCCATACAAATATATTAGCTTTATAATTGCCATAATTCCATATCATCAGGTAGATTATTAGAAATCTAAATAGTACAAAATTGTGGAAGGCAAGATATATTCACTTTGTTGGGGGCTGTAGGGAAATCTGAATCCTTTATTTTAGCACACATCAAACGAAATTGGACATTTTTAAATAATACTGATTACAAGGCCAAAGATGAGCATCTAGATGTCTCCTACTGAAACAATTGTGATGCTCCATTTTATTTTGCATAATTTCTTGTTTTCTACACAAATTTTTTGTGGATTTATGTATTTTTTAAATTCCATCGTCATACCTACTTTTTTACTCGAGTTAAAGAAAAATATTCTGTATTCATACAAAAACAATAACAATAACAGTACAAATTTAAAACCAAACAATTGGTTCACAAAAATAACTTGTAAAACAAGTATACTTTAAACAATTACAAACTCATAAATAATATACATGAGGAACCTTAAACAAACAAGTAAACAAATAGCATTCATGTTAGTTGAATGCAGAAGAGAAGACTGAGGATATCATAAAATTATCTTGAAACTCAAACAGTTGTAACAAAATATGAACACAGGTGGAGGAAAAACGGATTTCTTGATATCAGATGTGCTAGTGTTGGGCATATTGCTTATATCAGATTTGTTACCTAGTCCTTTCTGCATTACTTTTTAAGTTGTTTATAAATTGATTTCTGAGCACCAGTGACTCCACGTGAATGATTAGTCCTACAGTCTCTCCATTCTTCAGAAAAGTGCTATTATGACACCTGAAAGAAACAATATATATATCATTAATTTCAATAACATTTTCCTCACCCAGAAGAAAGCATAATTAATGTTTGTTAACACGGGCAGATTTAACTCTTAACAGTGTTACTTTGGATAGTGAGATGGACAACATATAAATTTAATGAATAATTCAAGCCCAATCTTCTAAAAGAGCAAATGAGGTTTGTGGATTATACATTACCGGTTGTGACTCATGACTGAATGCCATGTTTGGAGGCAACCCAAAGAAATATGTATGATGAAAAATGGACCCTATATTATGATTTTGAGAAAATGGCATGGGGTTCTTTCTTCCACAAAACAAGATCAACAGTCATAAACAACAATGATAAATCGAGTACCATGAAAAAGTAATTTCCTGTTTAACTGTGTAGCAAAGATGAGGGGGCTCTAAGTCCATAAATTCCCAGCCTTAAAATTATAATTTAACACCCCAAGGATTGTTTTAATATATATTCACCTTTTTCACCCCAGAGCACCGAAAACCCACTCTGCCTAGCAGGAACCTAATTAGATAAGTGTACATTTCTCTTTTTCAGAATCTCTCTCATTAAGTAAACAAGCATCCAAATTATACACAGATGCCCTTTTCCATCAGTTTCTTGCCTCCTAACCCTTTGTAACAATCACACTATTGGTTGCAGACTTTTGCCAAAAAGAGTCACAAAGCAAAAGAGCAGATCTTCAAATATTTTTTATTTGAATAATAAAATAAATTTTACTAGACAAGTTGGTTTTGCCATCTAGAAATCATTAAAAATGCTACCTTTTCAAAGTGGCTTATTTGGACAATATACACTGCTCAAAAAAATAAAGGGAACACTTAAACAACACAATGTAACTCCAACTCAATCACGCTTCTGTGAAATCAAACTGTCCGCTTAGGTAGCAACATTGATTGACAATCAATTTCACATGCTGTTGTGCAAATGGAATAGACAACAGGTGGAAAGCATAGGCAGTTAGCAAGACATCCCCAATAAAGGAGTGGTTCTGCAGGTGGTGACCACAGACCACTTCTCAGTTCCTGTGCTTTCTGGCTGATGGGTTGGTCACTTTTGAATGCTGGCGGTGCTTTCACTCTAGTGGTAGCATGAGACGAAGTCTACAACCCACACAAGTGGCTCAGGTAGTGCAGCTCATCCAGGATGGCACATCAATGCGAGCTGTGGCAAGAAGGTTTGCTGTGTCTGTCAGTGTAGTGTCCAGAGCATGGAGGCGCTACCAGGAGACAGGCCAGTACATCAGGAGACATGGAGGAAGCCAGCATCAGGACCGCTACCTCCGCCTTTGTGCAAGGAGGGACAGGAGGAGCACTGCCAGAGCCCTGCAAAATGACCTCCAGCGGGCCACAAATGTGCATGTGGCTGCTCAAACAGTCAGAAGCAGACTCCATGAGGGTGGTATGAGGGCCCGACGTCCACAGGTGGGGGTTGTGCTTACAGCCCAACACTGTGCAGGACGTTTGGCATTTCCCAGAGAAAACCAAGATTGGCAAATTCGCCACTGGCACCCTGTACTCTTCACAGATGAAAGCAGATTCACACTGAGCACATGTGACAGTTGTGACAGGGTCTGGAGACGCCGTGGAGAACGTTCTGCTGCCTGCAACATCCTCCAGCATGACTGATTTGGCAGTGGGTCAGTAATGGTGTGGGGTGGCATTTCTTTAGGGGGCCGCACAGCCCTCCATGTGCTCGCCAGAGGTAGCCTGACTGCCATTAGGTACTGAGATGAGATCCTCAGATCCCTTGTGAGACCATATGTTGGTGCGGTTGGCCCTGGGTTCCTCCTAATGCACGACAATGCTAGACCTCATGTGGTTGGAGTGTGTCAGCAGTTCCTGCAAGATGAAGGCATTGATGCTATGGACTGGCCCGCCTGTTCCCCAGACCTGAATCCAATTGAGCACATCTGGGACATCATGTCTCGCTCCATCCACCACAGACTGTCCATGAGTTGGGGGATGCTTTAGTCCAGGTGTGGGAGGAAATTCCTCAGGAGATCATCTGCTACCTCATCAGGTGCATGCCCAGGCATTGTAGGGAGGTCATACAGGCACGTCGAGGCCACATACACCACTGAGCCTCATTTTGACTTGTTTTAAGGACATTACATCAAAGTTGGATCAGCCTGTAGTGGTTTTTTTCCACTTTAATTTTGAGTGTAACTCCAAATCCAGACCTCCATGGGTTGCTAAATTTGATTTCCATTAATAATTTTTGGGTGATTTTGTTGTCAGCACATTCAACCATGTAATGAACAAAGTATTTTATGAGAATATTTCATTCATTCAGATCTAGGATGTCTTATTTTTGTGTTCCCTTTATTTTTTTGAGCAGTGTAAGTAATTTATCTCCCAGTGTATCTTACACAATAATTTTGCAAAATAATTAAACTGGGAGATAGTGACTGGGTTCACTGATTCATTCATTGATCCTGAATTGAACCAAGTATAAATTTGAGCCTAGTCCAATAGCTTCCATGGCATCAGGTTAGCAACCACAAAAATATGGTTCGTGTGATTTTTTTTAATAAAAGGATGTTCCATTAGTATACAACTTCAGAGAAATTGTTAAGAATGTACAAAAAATGCCAGAAAAAATTGCATCAAAATATACAATGATAGCTTTTTAAAAATCATTCAACTAAAACCATAATTTTTTGTGTTGGGATTAATGGTCAATTAAAAGAGAGCCATGTGTTGGAAGTTATAACTCACCCCCTCTCCTAGAAAAATGAAATATTTTAGGATATACTAAAAAAATCAGAATATTTCCCCTAAAAGAGAAGTGGAAATTCAGAGAGGTAGAAACTCAGCCCTCCCACCTTTGTCAATGGGCCATTAAGGCCATTAAGGTCTATTCTAAATAACAAAGATCTACCTCCTTCAGGTAGACCCATAATAGGAATCCCAAAGCCCTTTCATTACATCATCATCCAGCTAGGCTAGACCAAGCCTGGGACTCAGGACAGCCTACAGTGTTGCCCCTGAATGCCCCCCCCCCCCCCCCGAGTCTGATAACCAATCAGGATACAAGTTCAAATTCAACCCAACAGAGGGCATAAAACCCAGGGATTCACTCAGGAGCTTCGAAGCATGTGGTCCTATCGACCACGAAAACCATCTTTCCAAACAGTTGCCATGTTTCCAGTGTCTTCCCACTTGGAACTGAACCCAGATGGACATTTCTTCCAACATATGAAAGATTATTTTTAAACATAAGTACTCCAATATGCAAAAAAATGAAGCCTCTAAAATACTAAAAACAGAGGAATGGTTGGTTAAAATGACAGAACTAGCAGAAATGGCAAAATTAACTTAATTAGTGAATGATCAACAAATAAATTTATTTGTGATTGGAAACCTTTAACGCCTTTTTGCTTGGAAAAATAAAAACTTGGGATTTATGAGTTTGAAGATGATTAGAAAGAGTAGTTTATGAAAAGAAGGAAAGTATGATGTAATGTTAGGGTAAAACAACTGCGGTCGCAAGGAAACCAGAAGCCAATTCATAATTTTTCTTTTATCCCTATTTTTCTTTACTGTATGTTTTCTTACAGCTTTTACTTTAAAATTTATCTGCCATTGAACATCTCCAGCTCATGGCTCAAGACACTCAAATAAATTACTAGTTTGGTACAAGCCACACTGAACAAGGGCCACTAGTCATGATATCCATACAAAGATAACCTGAAGAAAAAATTCTCACAATAAGAAATAACAGGCAATGATACCACCAAGAGAATCCTATAGCAACACATCCAGATATCTTGTCCCTATGACACTGACACCAACATGGGTCCAAACAGCATCTTTTTTCTAATATGATTTGCCAGCAATACTATTCTGGGTTCTACACAAAAAGGGACACAAATCTGACATCAGGACTAAAATCAAAGACAAAGTAATAACAAAACACTTGACCTTCCAGGATATTCCAATATAGCTCTCAAGATAATAGTTCTGGAACAAGTGGCTTTTCTATCACAATGGAGCAATGAGAAGCCTAAAAATTCTTGATGGCAGTTAACCATCTCAGAAGGCCTGAACCTCTTACAGTGATTAACTGATAAGGTATGTATGATCTTTCTCACATGATCTTCATTTGCATAACTACCCTGTCTTCATTTCCATTTTCCCCTCACCTTTCCCCAATGTATTTATATCCTACACACCAATTAAACTACTCCATGCATCTGATGAAATAAGCTGCAGTACAAAGTTTATGCTTTATAGCCTTAAAGAAGTGTTACCAGAATCTTTTTGAGGAGTGGAAACTGAAACTATTGTATCTCTTAACTCTGCCTGACTTTTTAGTCACCATGCCTTTTCCTTCCACCGTTATTTATTTGTATTTCACATTTAGAAACATTATACCACATTATATCACATCACCTCCTTGATCCTACTGGAATAAGTAGAATTTCCCTCAATATAGATATTACCATCCTATCATGTGTCTCTTAGGGCTTAGTCTCATATATGTAATATATGTTACCAGAAGACTGTGTGTGTGTGTGTGTGTGTGTGTGTGTGTGTGTGTGTGTGTGTGTGTAGGCCTGTTTCCCAAAGAAACATTTTTAAAACTTCAAGCAATTAAATTCTTAGTACTTTTTAATATGCAGATCAGAAAAAGAATTACAGGCTCCTTTACCAGATAAAAAGCAGGATCAGCATAGAATTGGGATACAATCAAAAAAATTTCAACATGTTGCTAACTAGATCTCAGATCCTCTCTCACCTCCCCCTAAAAACACGTTTTGCCCCACTCAGGAATTCTCGTTTGCCTCTTATTGCTGGGCCTGTTGTTCTCGTGTATCGGGATTCCCACAAAAACTTCACTCAGATCCAATTTGTTAACTACGCCACAGTAAATCGTTTCACTATAACCCAGCATCATCTTTTGGGTAACCACCGGCTATCGGAGGGGACTCTGTAAAATGGGCAGCCCGCTAAAAGTCATGGCCTGTACAGCACAAGGTTTGGGTTTTTGCACCAGTCAGGGATTACTTTGAAAGTTTAAACTAAGTTTTCGGTAAACCGGAGTCTGCCCGTTCCTGTGCAGCGTTGAGAATGGAGAGACGAGATTAAAAATGCCACCCAGAGGTAAAATGGGCAAACGGTATTTATTATTCCCGGTCCTCCTTCGATTTAGATTTAAGAAAGGAAGACATGCCTAGCCCCACTGAACGCCTAAATCAACATTTAAGGGTTGCCATTGCTATATCGAAGGGAAAAAAAATATCGACCCTTATCTAGATCTTTTGGGTAGTGACAAGCAGTCGTTGGTACTCACAGATCAGGAACCGCTGCCGATCCATTTCGGTTGCTTTCAAATCTGGGATGGGGGGGAAAGGGTGGGGTTTTTGTAAAAAAATATATCAAGTATAATATTGAGGGGGGAAACAAGGACGGCTCGCGTTTTCGACGACTTGCCTTTTTTTTCCTCTTCCCAGCAGAGTTCCTGATGAAGCTCGTGTAGACAGATATGTAACCCTCCTTGGTTAAAGGGCAAAACCGCCTCGTGTGTGCAAAGTCCTCCGAAGCTCCGCACTGAGGACACTTGTATTTTCTCAGAATGGGGCACTGCACGCGGCCGGCCTCGTCCTTCAGCCGATGCGAGCTGTAGATGGAGCGCGATTCCCCGTTCTGCTTGCAGAAAGAACAGCTGAATTCATCCCGCCCACGCGCGGCCGAGGGAGACTCGTCCACGAGCTGTTGCCGCCGCTGCTGCTGCTGCTGCTGCCGCCGCCGCCGCGGGAAAAGTTGGCGCTCCTGCTGCCGCTCCGGCGACAATTCCGCCGCCTGCGGTCCGGACTCTTCTTCGGAGGGGCCGTATCGGTTCATCTCTTCCACCAACTTGGCCAGCTGGAAATAATCCCTCCAGAGTTGGAAAGCGGCCGGACTCATCCCTGCTCTCACTTAAGAGGCCTTGCAGCCGGGCGCTCGCGGGTTTCAAACGGGAGACCTCCTGGCCTTCTCCTGGAGGAGCCAATGGCTTTATCGGAAGCGGCCGGTCGCCACCCCCGACAATTGCTTGGAGCCGGAGAGTCTGATTTGGCAAAGGAAAAGAAAAGGGTTGCCGGGAGAGAGGCGGTGGGACTTGGGAGGAGGTGGGGAAGAATCCCGCGGCTTCCTGGCCGAGATAACAGGACAGTTAAGGAGGACAGGCGGGCTTTTATAGCACTTCAGCGCGGCTCTAGGATGCTGGAGGACCTTGTAAATCACCCTTAGCAGGAAGGAGCTCAAGACGCGCGCAAAAATGTTCTTTTGCAGGTGTGGGTTAAAAGATATGATTAGTTCTTCGGAAACAAGGACCGTCAGCTTAGCCCAGAAAGTGATTTTTTTTAAAAAACAACAACACACCATGCCTTCACTTTCTAAAACTTTGTAAAAGATGGTTTTTATCTATCTTTAGAGCAGGAGAGTTCCCACATTGTACCGAAGACTGCATTGCTAATTGCTATCTTATTTGGAATGCAAAAGTCTAGAGATCCACTAGTTATCAGGAAAAGGCTTGTTTTCTGGATCTGATTATTTCCCTCTCCGTTTTTAAAGGCAGCTGGCTTGATTCCCACCCCCGCCTGCTGCCAGTTTGGCCTTGCAACAGTGTTAACAGTTATAGGAAGGGGAGGACCCAACAATAACCAGAACCTAATTTTGGCAAGCAACATATTTTTTCAAAAATATATATACAGTAGTATATATACAGTTACATGTAAATATAGGCACTCTTATATTTACATACACAAAGGTACACATAGATATATACAGGTGCATGTAAATGTTTAGGCACTCCTGAATCCTTAAGTAAACAAAAACCAACATAAAAGAGACAAAACCTAAAAGGAAAAGGAAAAGACCAGAACATCTCCATCCGCAATCAATATATAGATAAGATTAACACCAGGATTAATACTAACCAGCAATCAAAACATTACCTCAGTCAAGGAACTACCAAGAACACTGATGGGGGAAGCCACTTGGATTAAACCAAAGATCAACAAAGTTCTTTTCTCCTGGGAGAGACTATCTCAGTTAGTGAAGAGGTGGAAACTGAGAAGCAATTGGATATTTCAGACAATGACCTGAAATATAACCAAGCAATATTATAGGGAAGAAGGTTCCGAAATGGTCTTCATAATCCCAATCCTGAATACTATTGCAAGTCCAGGGGAAAATATCAAATATGCTGTACAATTATTTCTGGCCTAGAAGTGTGCTGCAAAATAGAGTGAGAAAAGTAATCCAAAAACAATAGAAAGAGTCTTATGGTAATTAAATCTATGAAATATTTGGAAGCTGCTTTTGCTCATGCCACCGAGTGGTTCACAATACTGACAGCTACTTCCTGGACAGGGAATAAAACAAAGTTCTGTCTCCAGCAGGATCTTCCCTGAGGCATGAACCTGAGCATATGGCCCAAGGAGATTCCTCCGGCCTTTTCTTTTCTACAGAGGACAAGACTTTAGCTTTCTCAAGTCCAAGAGAGAAGCTAGATACTAGAACAGGAAGAGGAACCTAGGTAATATTGTTTTCAGCCTCCCGAGGGATTTTCATCCTTCAGAATCTGGAAAAATCCAGGATAAGAATTTGTTTTAATGATCCTTTGTCTCTTTGCTATAGGTAACATATTTAGCAAGAAAACTACGATTAGACCTTTGATTTAGTCCTGTGTGTGTGCGCGCACATGTGTGTATGTGTGTTGAAATCTTTATTTCCAGTTATTATCTTAGATCTGTTATCAATGTATGCTTGGTATGTATTTTGTTGCAGTTGGGAGGCTCATTATAGCAAAGAACTACAGCTCTAAATTAGGGACATCTCAACATTATGTTAAATATCTTGTTATAGGTTTCTAGGGGAATTTTTTTTCAAAGGCTGTATTTTGAGCAGTTCTGTACTTTTGGTCTCCTTTAACATTTATGTTCTAAGTAATCATGTTGTGAGTCACGAAGATGTATCCGACCCATCATGACCCCATGGACAACATTCCTCCAGGCCTTCTTCCCCTCTATCATCCTCTGGAGTCCATTTTCTAAGTATTCAGACACAATTAAAATATTATATTTGATAAGCACTCAATTTTTTTGGTTTATAGCAGTGTTGCATAGCAGTATATTTCTGAGAGTGGAGTCATCAAAAAGCACCTGTAAGTCCTTTTCCTGCAAGCTCACCAATTTGATGTCAATACATGATGAATGCAAACAAAAGACCAGGATGAAGCAGAGGTTTTCTTGCTTGCTTGCCTTTCAAAGAGACTTCTATGCCAGGCATTGACTGTCTGACCTGAATCTTTTCTGCAAAGGGGGTTACATTATGAGAGACAGGGAGGCTGCAGTGGGAGTGATTTACCAGCACCAGGAGGCTAGAAGGGAAAGAAATGGGCTGTGATGATTATATCAGTCCAGCTGCCCTGGATGGACCAGAGCTTCAAAAGTTATATGCTATTTGGAAAGAGAAAAAAAACAGCTTAAAAGAAACACTCTTTCCACCCCTCCTCCATTTTGATTGGTGAATGAAAGTGGCTGTTCTCAAAATGAAACCTCAATTTCAGGAATTAGGCAAGGATAATCGAGCTAATATTTCCCATTTAAATATGGCTTTAAGTTGTATCAGTTTTCTTTTTTGTTTCTTTCCAATTAAAGAGTCCAATATTATAAACTTTTAAAACTTCTATCACTGTTGCTAGTATATATGAAAATATCATGAAAATTATGTGGTATACTTATTTTTTGTGCAATTAATGAAGTCACTACTTACTATTAAAGATGTGCGTGTGTTTTCTGTTTCTTTTTCTATTTTTTCTATTCTCTTTGGTCTTTATATTTGTCTGTTTTCTTTTTTACATTTATTTTTAAACATTTTCCTTTCTCTGAATGTATTTTTCATTAACTACGTAAAATCTTTTAATAAAAATTATTTTTAAAATAAATGTAGACTAAAAGGTAGCAGCTTCTGTGTGGTTTTCCCTCTAACAGAGGATATGCAATAACGTGGAGTGGGAGGAAGAGATAATTGGATTTTGGTATTGATTCTATCAGCCACTGTCTGAAAAAAAGGAAAAAGCTATGGTGTCTTGTCTGCCGTGGTGCCTGCCCTGTGTCATCATTTCCCCAGGGATCCAGGAAGCTGTCACCTTCCTGGCCCTCCAGACTATGAAGACCTGGCTTTTCTTCCAAGTAGTGAGCCAGAATGCTAGATAATTCCAATCTAACTATGGTATGTGAGACTGAATCTTGCTGTTTTCATAGTGTGATTACTTTAATGCTGTGCTTATCTGAGTAGTCGACTCGGTGTTCATCGAGTTTTCCCGAAAATAAGACTCAACCAGAAAATAAGCCCTAGCATGTTTTTTTAAGAATGCCCCTAATATAAGCTAACCCCCAAAATAAACCCATTAAGATTGTCAGCCTTGGGGGGCGGCGGCTGCAAGACAGAGTGAGGTGGGGATAGCGCTATGCTGCGGCCCCCGCACGCTCTGCCCCCGCCAAACTCCCTTGAATACCACTGACTCTTATCTAACTTTAAGCAGGGGCCAAGCATGCAGGGGCTGTGGCATGGCACCATCTCTGCCTCACCTTGTGGTGGCAACAGCACCAGGCATAAGCAGGGGCATGGGGCAGCCCACTCTGTGTTCAGCAGCTGCTGCTGCAAGCACATTTCAGGCAGCCATGAACTCATCTGGCTCTTGGTCCCTCCCAAACCACCCACAGGGAAGAACCTTCAGCCAGATTTCACTTGAGGGGATCAAGTGGCTTTTATCCCAATTTATGGAAAAACCATGACCCTGAAGGGTCTCCAAAGTAAACTTGGTATCTAATTTTGCTTGATGTCTGGAAGATGACAAAATTAAAATATCATCCAGATAACGTTGTAAGCGGACAGATTTTATTCTGAGCGAGGCAGCCAACGCCGCGAGGACCTTGGTAAAAGTCCTAGGGGCTGAAGCCAGACCGAATGGCAGGGCGATATATTCGTAGTGCCGATCACAATAGCAAAATCTAAGATATCTGTAGTGGGCAGGTCTGATTGGTATATGTAGATAAGCTTCTGTGAGATCTATAGAGGGCATGATATTGTTCTCTCTGATGCTAAGCAGAATGGACTGGAGAGTAGTCATCTTGAATTTCCGATAAACCAATGATTTGTTCAAACGCTTGAGGTCCAGAATTGCCCTCCAGCCCCCCGAACTTTTTGGGACCACGAACAATAGAGAGTAACAGCCTTGACCTCGCTGTTCAGATGGGACCTCTCTAATGGCCCGAATTAGAGCAGAGCAGCCTGGTGCAATTGAATGCTTTTAATTTACACAAATAGAAATACTACTAATAGTACTACTTCTCCTTCTCTTCTTTTTTGGCCTTGCTTTTTTCCTTCTCCTTTTCCTTGTCCTCTTTTCCTCTCCTCCTTACTCCTTTTCCTGTCCCTCCTTCTTGGCATCTCTGTTGGCAAAATCCTGTTGTTGATGAGGTTGTGCAGCACTACCACCGATTGGATCAGATGAAGCAAATGGTGGGGCGGGGGTAGCAGTATGCCGTGGCTCCAGTGCACTTGGCCTTGGCTGTCCAATGTCTTCAAGTTCTGCTGCACATGCAGGATAAGCCTTCTGTGGCTGCTCCCCCCACTCTATCTCACTGTCTTTGCTTGCCATGTGGCACATCCGGTGGGCAGCCCCCGAGACCAGAAAGCATTGGACAACAGGTTGGCGGGCTGCAGCAGCTCCTGGACACTGTTGGCCCCTGCACGCTCGCTACTTCTTGTGCGCACACTGGTCTGATCACCCTGATATCATGTTTCCCCCAAAAATAAGCCCTAATGCATCTTTTGGAGCAAAAAAAAAAAAAAATAAGACTGTGTCTTATTTTGGGGAAACACAGCACATATATTGTCATTAGTACTGATAGAAA